CTCACCTTGCCGGCTCTCCGTGACAGGGAAAATCGCTGAGCCTCATCTGCGGGGCCCTGGCGTGGCTCCGGGACTGGGAGGAGAAGCGGCGGCAGGAGGAGGAGCAGCTGCTGGCGCTCGGGGCCGGCGGGCAGGACGGGCTGAGCCCGCAGCAGGCGCGGCCGGGGAGCGCGGACACGGCCGGGCAGCCGGACTGGGTCACGGCCTTCGTGCAGAGGAAAGAGGAGCGGGACATGGTGGACAGGCTGAAGGTGGGGATGCGCTCGTGTGTAGAGGATGGATGAAATAACGAGGGCTGATATCGCATAGACACAGCGTGGCTGGGGCTGGAAGGGACCCTGGGGCTCGCCTAGAACGGCCTCTCCCTAGAGCGCGGTACCCAGTGTCCAGGAGGCTGTTTAGCATCTCCTGGGAACTCCAGCACCTCTCTGGGCAAACTGTTCCTGTATCCTGGATGGTGAGTGGAGAACACGTCAGGCAAATTTGGTGGTGGTGTGTCTTTGCCTGAGGGTTGCCCAAGACAGGAAACTATTCCTTTGTATTGCTTTGAGCAGAGTAACACTGTAGGGGAGCACGCAGAGAGAACAGAACCCTGTCCCAGAAATTTTGTTTCCCTTACTCTTTTTTCTATGCCCAGAGCCTAAGTAGTGATACCAAGGGTTGAGGACTAAATCCACGTAGTCCTGCCTACACTCCCCCATTTTTGTAGGAAGAGCAGATCAGAAGGAAAAAGCGAGAAGATCGTCTTGAGAAAATTCGGCAAAACGTGCAGTTAAAATACGCAGCAAAGAGGAAGGTGAGTTACTCCACAGAGATCAAAACTTTCTGTTTTGGTTACCTTCAGTGTTGTTCATATTTGCTTATGTGTGACTTCACAGTGACTTTTCCAACCCACCTGTTTGAGGAGCTCTTGGTATGAGGTTTCTGAAATTGGTCATCCGAAATTATTTGTTAAATTTTAAAAGTGCAGGTGTGAAAAACAATTTGTGCATCAATGATTTTCTGTGACAATTTTTGTGTGTGGGCAGAAATGATGTGTGTTCTGATTGCCTTCTGGCTTTCTGCTTTTCTTTAAAAAGCTTTAATACTCAGAGGCTTTTTTTGGAAAGATCTCTGTTTTATGAAAATATGTGAAACAGTCTGTATTTCTGGAATAAAAATGGTATTAAAGTTCACAGATACATATTTCCTCTCATTTAGGTGCATGAACTGGCCTCAGTGCTCTTGATGGTTTTTGATTATATGAATTATACTTCCCAGAAATACTCAGTTCAGGTCCCCAGATAGATTTATTAGGCTGCCAGGCTATTGATTTCTAGTGTGCTCTATCTCAAATACTGTGTAATGTTTTGGTCAAGTCCTGTCAAAAGGATATGACAGAAATAGTAGAGAATGGCAAATAAAAACCAAATGGAACAAAGAACTTGTCTCTTAAAAGAGACTGAAGAGCATGTGAAATGAGAAGCATGATGAAAAGCAAGAAAGCAACTGAGGCAAATATGATGGAGATTTAGAAAAGCGACTGATTCTTCTTTTCTAAGTTAGTGCTTACTGACTGCATTTTCTTGTATATTGTATATTCCATGGTATTCATTGTATTTTCCATGGTAATAAAATGCTCATTAACATTGGAAGATACTGTTTTGAGATGGAAAAAAATGAACTTTTCTTTTTTGTGACACAGAAGTTAATCAGAAAACTGTTCTTCAGCAGTTCAACTGAATTTTTGTAGAGAGGTAGACTTGTGTTAGAGTAACAGTCATACATCTGGAGAAAAATCAGGAAGAGAAATCTTGTTCTAAACCAGATGCTGAGCTGATTCTAGCTTTGGGTTAAATGTGCGCAGAGTGTTTGATTATGTCTTTCCATGTTTGTTTGTTCAGGCTTATTTACACACCATTTTCTCTCAGGCAGACATCTTTTATGGGCCACTTTAAGCAGCTAATACTGGATTACATGAACATTTCATTGAGGGTCTATTAGTTCAGCAGGCCTTTTGCAGAGAAGGTCCTTTATGTTTCCCCTTCATAACCCTCTGTGTGGGCAGGTCTTTGGTTTTGGTAACAGCTGATTTCTGTAGGGCTGAACAGCTTCAGCCTTCTGTGAGAGACCTGTGCTGTCTTCTGACCTGTTCATGCCATAAAGCAACCCCTGTGCCACTCTTTTTTTATATGGGAAATGCTGTGCCTTTGTATTCCTTCCAGAGATGTGAGGATGATGAGGCAAAGCGCCTTCTTCAGCTCAGCAAGGAGGCTCTTTCACAGGGCGCTGGAGAGGATGCTCTAGACCAGCTGGATCACAATGAGGAGGAGCTGATTCTTGCTGAATATGAGAGTGATGATGAAAAGAAAGTGGTATCTGGGTAAGGACGGGGACTGAGGGGATTCCATGCTAAGGAAACATTTTCCATCTAATTTTTATCTTGCCCTGATTAAAGAGGTTGTGCAGATTTTATTAATAAGTGTCTCTCACCTTTTCAAACAGTGTAAGGTGGTGGTTGTTCTGGGGTTTTATTTAATTGGTTGTCTGGGGGGGATTTTAGTTTGGTCTGTTTCAGTTTTTATAAACTTTTGCTAGACTGATCTGAGTGACCTGAAGTGCTTTCTGAGAAAGTGCATCTTAAAATGTGTAGCAGTGTCCTGCCTTTATCCATGCCCAGCTTCCCAAAGAGTGGCTCTGGATGCTGGGTGAATGACTTGAGATCAAGTTCCTTGCATTAGAAAAGCAGAATGGAACTCAGGACACCGGAGTCAGCTGTGAGTTCTGCAGATTAGCACTGGCATCTTTTGATACTCTAAAGACAGAGATGTTCACATTTCTTTAAGACAGAGCTTTGGCATGAAAATCCCATGCACACTTTTCTCTCCCATGCATTTGCCTTATGCAGAAAGCCAGAAGCCATACTTCAGCACAAAAAAATCAAACACATTTAAATTACAAATTTACTAATTCATGTTTAGACATTTCCTTCTACCTTAAAAATTGAAGAACGCTTAACTACTTTTTTTATATGTAAGTAGTTTATCAAACATTGAACTGCTGTTGCCTTTGAGGAGCTCAATGGCAGCTGAATGCTTTCCTGAAGCCTTTCTTTATGCAATATCTGGAGGGTGGTAAATTGCTTCTAATGGGAAAGCTTTACAAAAATAAATAAAAAAGGTCACCAAAGAATAGTATAGCACTGATTAGCTTATGCCTGAGGCTTAGAGGCTCCTCAATCAAAAGGAAGAAAAAATTCTTGAACTTGGAAAAAAGGCACAGCCCAGGAGAGATTTTTCCTTTAAAGAGAACCCTGTTCTTAAAAAGTTAAATTTTCTTTTACCTCCTGAGATGAGTTCTGAGGCTCTTTTTGAGATGACTTAATCATCTCTCTTGAGACCTCTCTCCTGTGGTGGAGTATCATTTGATTCATACTGTCAGTGGTCTGCTGAAAGGAAACTGTTTAAGCTTTCTCTTTTCTTAGGCTGGAAGAAGATGATGATGATGATTTGGAAGAGGAGCATGTGACTAAGGTGAGAGGAGGAAATTAAATAGTGCCACTTCATAGAATAGTGTAGGTGTGAGCAGAATGATGGCTTCCTTGCACCTTTCCAACAGTCAGGCAGTACAGAAGGATTTAGGAGCTAGCTTCCAAAAGCTGCCAGGTCTGTTGATAAAGATAGCTAGTTCTGCTGTGCTCATCTCCTTCTGGACTACACTGCCTGCCTAAGCAGCTTGCTGTGCTCGTTTTTGCTGTGGCTCACTGTAGAAGAACACAGCAATAAATAGTGTTTTATTACTCTCCCATGGCGAGTCCCTGTTTTACAGAGACCTTGGAAAATTAAATGGCAACAAAAGCAAATGCAGAGGAGAAAACAAAGATGGGGCTTTTAGCCTCAGCAGTTTTAAGATGACACTCAAACATGTGCCTTCCCTTGTGCTTTTGAAGGCTTGAGCAAGGTGAACCTTGCTGAAGTGCTTGGCTGCTTCCTTGTAGGATTGGTCATAGGTAGGGAATGGCTTCCATATTCTTCTTGTCTTCCCTTTGTTGTTCCTCACTGCAGATCTACTACTGCAGCCGCACTCACTCCCAGCTGTCCCAGTTTGTGCATGAGGTGCAGAAAAGTCCTTTTGGCAAAGACACACGTCTGGTCTCCTTGGGATCCAGGCAGGTATGTGCTGCTGTTCTCAGGGACCCAGAACACACTGCCAGGAGCTGTGTGGATCTGGTGCCACAGAAGTCACCTTGGGGACAGGCTGAGTCTCCTGTTGAAAAACCAAGGCAGCCATGGGTTGCAACACAGATCTGTGTGGTGTACATCTTTCTGTGAACTCTGTTTTGGTCATTTACCCTTTGATGTAAATACAAGAATATGTTTTACCTTTGCTAATATGGAGTATTACAGATGTCTGAGTCACTGAGAAGGTGCTCCTCTTAGTAAACTAGTACTTCTGGCAGCATTTTTCAGAAGCTGTTGTGTAGCAGTGAGCCCTCTTTTTCTTATTTTTTCCTCCTAAGTTTCTGTGAGTTTTGAGCATGTTTATAGCAGTTAGTATGTACAATGTCTAACTGGTAGACTTTTCATTTTTGGAGTCTGGCCTGAGATTGCTTTAAAGAAAATCATTTGTTTTACAGCAGGGAGTGCACATGGGGGCACTCAGCTGTGAATTGACTCCCTTCCTCTTCCTCTGTTTGCACGTACCAGAATCTGTGTGTGAACGAGGAGGTGCGACGCCTGGGCGCTCTCCAGCTCATCAATGACCGCTGCATGGACATGCAGAAGAACAAACATGGTAAGAATGCTCCTGTCACTGTCATATTTTCTGAAAAATCCTTTCACCAGGATTTCTTCTCCTGGGAAGCTGAGAAGCCTCAGAGAAAAAGGAATATAATAATTATCTGATTCGCTTCTCCTGTGTTTTGCTGCTTTGGAATGTGGTTTGGACATTGTTTACCAACTGGTCATTGTTTCTTTGGTTTCATGTGAATTGTTTTAACTTAATGACCAATCACAGCCAGCTGTGTCGAGGCTCTGGAGAGAGTCACAAATTTTTCAGTAGTATCTTGTTAAGCCTTTTGTAAGTACCCATTCTCTATTGTTTAGTATAGTTTAGTATACCATTCTTTAATATAATATAGTAACATAAAATAATAAATTAGCCTTCTAAGAACATGGAGTCAGATTCATCATTCCTCCCCACAACGGGGGACCCCAGAAATACCACATGCTCCCACAGCCTGGGGAAGCAATTCCTAATAAAGGTGTCATGAGAGGGTGGAGACAGTGGGTGCTGCCAGTCAGTTCTAGCAAGAGTGGTAGAAGCTTGAAAATGACAGGTTGGAAGAACAGGAATCCTTGGTGCTTTTCTTGATCTCCAGGCTATGCTGAGATCAGGATAAATCTTCTGAGTGTCTCAAGCTGGTCAGGACTTCTGCACAGAAGGATACTTGTGTTTAACTCAATGCTAGAAATGTTGGAAGATGTCACATGCTAAATCTAACTGGCAAGAGTAGTGTCCACTATGGAAATGGAAATGTTACTGCTGAATAATTTAAAAATAGGTGATAGGTCAGGAATACACAGGACAAAGCTTGCTTTGAAATCCATGAGTTTCTGCAAAATGGTTATTTTAGGCTGTTGTGTGTGTTGCTCATAGCTTTCTTTTGATTTCTGCTGTTAGAAAAGAAGAGCAATGAGGAGAATGAGGGGAAGAAGAGACGTGTGAGTCGCACCGTGTGCCCATTTTATTCCTTTGAGCAAATGCAGTTTCTCCGTGATGAAGTTCTGGTGGAAGTGAAGGATATTGAGCAGTTGGTGTCCTTGGGAAGGGAGACCAAAGCCTGCCCATATTATGGGAGTCGATTTGCTATCCCTGCTGCTCAGGTAAGGCTTAAGTTTTAGTGGCGTTAATGCCAGGCACTCTTATGAGTGAACTGATGGCCTGCTCCTTCTAGTACTGTCACTTAGACTGGGGAGTCTGTAAACAGGCTGTGTTTCTGTCAGCTCTAGTTTTGCTCAGAAAGCAAAGGAAAATGAGAATTCCCATCAGAAGTTCATAAGGATGCTGTATGTCTCAGCATTTTGAAATACTTGAGCAGTTCAGCAAGTGTGAAGCAATACTGACATACAGGTGAACTCTTAGCTCTTACACCACTCTTCTTCCTTGCTGAGTTCTCCCTGAAGAGTTTCAGTGCCCCAAAGGAGATTTAAAAGGTAACCTAAACCCATATGCAATTGTAGCATAATCATTTCAGCTGACATCCCAGTGCCCCTCTCAAGCATGTGCTCCTGGTTTTGTTCTTACTTTTCCCATAATAAGAGTAAGTCACTTGGCTGAATTCTGCATGGCCCTTTGATAAGGGCTGTTAATGAGTGGTTGTAGAATGCCCAGAGTTTGTAAGGATGAGAGCTGGAATCAGGGCAGTGTGTGCCTCTCCTGTAGCTGGTGGTGCTGCCCTATCAGATGCTTCTGCATGAGCCTACCAGGAAGGCAGCTGGGATCAAGCTGAAGGACCAGGTTGTGATCATTGACGAGGCCCACAACCTCATAGACACCATCACCTGCATCCATAGCGCCGAGGTCAGCGGCTCTCAGGTGAGTCACAGCCTGGCCTGCTAAAGGGGAGGGAGGTTTGCTTCCAGCAGTGCTCCTTCTTCTCTCCTTTATAACAACAGCTTCTGCTTTCTGTTTGTGCAGCTGTGCTGTGCCCACTCCCAGCTGTCGCAGTACATGGAGCGATACAGGTGAGGATCTTGGGGAAAAACAGCTCAGCACAGGCAAGGTCTGTGGATGCCTTGGCTTGCCCCATGGCTGCAGGGTCTTTCTTGCTTTTCCCCAGTGGAAAGTTACTGCATTAAGAGTTCTGCAGATGAAAAGAACACTTGCTTTATTATCTCTGTCTAGAATTCATCTAAGTCAGACTCCTGGGGCTGGTATTAAGCAGCGAGAAGGGGATACCCTGAGGATTCTGTTTTCCCCTTATACACTCAGTTCTTTCCCAATATCTCCCTCTAATCACTTCTACTTTGTGATGCAGAGTTTCAAAAGACTCAGTCTTTCATGTCTCTCCCTTAGTCTTCCATTGTGCTGACTGGCATGATGGTAGAAGCAGGAAGCTCTGAGGAGGAGGCAGAAGCTGTATGTGGGTTTTGGCTCTGCACCTTGCCATCCCTGCAGCGGCTGATTGTTGTGTTCAATGATAATAACTCTGAATGTTTGGAGCATTATTGCAACAGGGTCTTGAGGCATCACTGCCATTGTAACAAACCAGCTATAATTAATATGCAAGGAGAGGTGCAATGGTAGGAACAGTGGGGGGGAGCATGGATAAATGCTTTGGGATGACCTTGGGCAGGATATCCAGATGACTCTGCCCTGTCACAAACAGAGAGAGTGAACTTGGAAGAAATCTTTAGTTCCTGACTCTCCAAAATGAAGAAGAGTTCATGTACTTGTTTCTGCAGCTCATCTGCTTTGGTTAGTCCCTGAAGAGGTTTTGGGGCCTAAACATGTCTCATGCTTCATAGGAAACGTTTGAAGGCAAAGAACTTGATGTACATTAAGCAGATCCTGTATTTACTCGAGCAGTTTGTGGCTATGCTGGGAGGTAAGCAAACCTTTTGTGTCTCCAGGGATAATGATAAACTCTGAGCTAGTTAGTACTTTCTCAGGACGCTGTCCCCCTTCTTCCTCTGCAGGGAAGTGTTGCTTATGTATAGGTTCAGATGCCAGTAGTTTTATTTTGCAGGCTGGTTTGTACTTGGGGAAGTTGACTGATGTATATTGGAACCCTTTACTTAGTTTCACTAGCTTAGGAGCAGCAGATGACATTGTAAGTTGGTAGAGGCAGTTTCCTTTTCTGTGTAGTTTTGAGATCCAGTTGAAATGAGGATGATGTAAAATGCTAAGTGAGGAATACAGCAGATGTATAAAATGTGTAACAGTGTAGCACAAGAACTGCATGAAATAAATCTCCAGGTGGTCTGGTAGCAAGGCCTCTGTGTGTCAGCATGCATCTGCAGAATGAATCTTTCTTGAGTGGTGCCTTTCCTTTGTGAGAAAATATTTTGCTTTGATTTTAGGTCCACAGTAATTTGCAGGGCTTGCTCCTTTGCTCCAATGATCTGTTTCCTAGATCTTAGGAATGTAGGTGGTATTCCTTAGGATGCAGTAGCACTCTTGTTCTATAGTGTAGGGCTACTCTAGGGCAAATTAAAACTGAGTGGGAGCTGGTGTTCAGTCTGCATAGACACATTTTGCAGATGTGTAGTTACTTCTTGGGTTTCTTGTGCAGGTTTCTAAAGGAGAGTCTTTAGTTTCCTGCTTAATTTTGAGATAGATTCAAGCCTGCCTTGAATTGGTTTCATGCTTTACAGGTAATGTGAACCAGAATCCTGGAAGCCAGGCAGTTTCCCAAACAGGTAAGATAGGAGTGAACTCCTGGGGTATGGAGCTATCAGTCAGGGACGTGGATTTGGGCAGTAAGGGGTGCAGGCCCAGCAGCAGCCAATAATTTCTTTTCCCCTTCTCTCTCTTTTCTATCAGGGACAGTACTAAAATCCATCAATGACTTTCTGTTTCAGAGTCAGATTGACAATATCAACCTCTTCAAGGTAATGCAAACGTTGTGGCACAGGTGGTGGTGACTTGTTTGAGATTATTGTGTGAAAGCTGGAAGTAGAGCCAGAGTCCATGCTCTCTAACTGTCTGTAAGGCAAAGCTACACTGTAAGGGCTGTCATGCAGAAATTTTGCTACTCCAGTAACCTAACTCTCCCCCTTGAACCTCCAGACACAGCACCTCAACACTGTGGGATGTCATGGTAACAAACATTTCTCACATTGTAATAAACTCTTCTCTGGCTGGTGGTGCCCACAAAGAGCTGTGCAGCTCTCCCCCAAAGCACAGCAAGTGACAGCCTTGCTGGGCAGGGATCAAGGGCAGCAGGATGCAGAAGGGGTGCTGAATGCCAGTTCATTTTCCTGTCCTCCTCCAACAGGTTCAGCGCTACTGTGAGAAGAGCCTTATCAGCAGGAAGGTACTTGCCCTGGGGTTTCATGGTCAGCAGTGCTCCAATGCTGTTTCACACCTGCACTTTGAGATGGAACATGCAGCAGCTGGGTGGGAGCTTGTCTTCTCCATCCTGTTCTGCAAACAAACTGGTTCCTTTAAAAAATACTATATGGGCAGGGTAACTCTTGCTTATCCAGAAAAGAAAAATACAATGTGCTTTGCCACAGTATTCCAGTGGGTGCCAGTTCTGTGCTGCTTGGCCTCAAATTTGCCAGCCAGGTAGGCTGCCTTGCAGTGGAAGAACAGACATCAGAAACTTGTTTTTCTTTTGATTCAGTGGGTATAGGAAAGTAATGGGAGCTGATACATTCTGATTAGGCTGGTTTGTGAACACAGCAGCAGGCCAGCAAATCTGTCTTATCTTCTCTGATTACTGCTGTTGGTAGTCTTAGTATTTCTGGCTTTTGTTTGGCAGCTTTTTGGGTTTGTGGAGCGATATGGGGGCTCTGCCTCAGCTGTGAAGACCAACAAGGAGAACCAGAAGGTGGCTGGTTTGCAGGACTTTCTTCTGACCCTTCAGCAGGGATCTGATAAGGAGGGTGAGTTCAGACATCCTCTCCTTGTACATCTGTGAGCAGAGTGAGGATGTGGAACCCACATCTCTGCATGAGGAAAGGGAGGAGGCAGATGTGCAGAATGAGAGGCTGAAGAAGGTGTCCTCCTGCATGGGTGTTTTTAACAGGTCTCACTAGCTGATGTACAACTGTACATTGGATTAGTGAGGTCCCTTTCAAGCTGAATGATGTAATTCCACGTTCACACCACATACACTCAAGCTTTGCACTTCTGTGACCTGCTGGCTCTGGGACCTGAGCTACTGTGTGTAGTAGCTCTGCTGCGTGGTGTCATCCACAAAAATCAGATTTTTTTTTTTTTTTTTTTTTAATTTAGCAATGAGACAGAATTTGGATTTTTCCCTTTAATGGGTATTTATTCTCTGCCTGCATATTGTATTCTCTGCCAGGTATTGTTTTCCTGTAGAGCATGTTCCGTGCTTAACCCCTGTCTTTAGAAGTGTGGCCTAAGTTGCCTTGCCTGCCTCTCCTTTCTTTTTTGGGCCAGCAGGTGCCCCCCAGAGCCCTCCCGTGGAGGCTGAGCACGACCAGCTCCGAACTGCCTCTCCACTGATGCAGATTGAAGGATTTCTCTCAGCCCTCACAAATGCAAACCAAGATGGCAGAGTCATTCTCAACAAGCAAGGTACTGGAAAGGGTGAGCTGGGGAGGGGTGGCATGAGTTACTCACAAGCGGGTTGTTTCACTGGCACTGAGGGAGGAGATATAAGAGTCTCTGGGGAACCTGGAACCTGCATTTGTGCCATCTGTGATGTAGGCTGGCAGGCTTGGTCTGTCTGAGGATGATCCCAAGGGAATTTTTAACCAAGGGCATTGGGGCCAGGATTTGCAGAGGTCTGCTCCCACTTTGGATGTCAAGTTTTGTCTTGCAATTTACTGCACCTGTTGTACAGCTCCAGGGAGATTAGGAAGCAGAAGGTAACTTTCAGGTTGGCATTACCTGCTGCTGCCTCTGTCTGTGTTGAACAGCAAGTCTTTACTTTAAGAGGTGGGTACCTGCCAGAGTACCCAGGTCAGGAGGGAGAATCTCTCATATCCCTGAATTTGTGTCACAGCTTGCTCCTGACTGCTCTTCTCTCCTTTTCCCAGGCACAGTTGGTCAGAGCAGCCTCAAGTTCCTCTTGCTGAATCCAGCTGTCCACTTTGCCAAGGTTGTGGAAGAATGCCGTGCTGTCATCATTGCTGGAGGCACCATGCAGCCGGTGAGGGAATGAGGATGCTGTGCTGGGCTCTCAGCAGGTCGGGGGTGCTGTCAGCAAGCCGGGGTGGGCAGAGAGCAGCCAGGCTGAGCCGGTGGTGGATTGGAACTATCACGGAGAGCAGAGGGAGGAGCTCGTGATCCATCCTAGCTCTGCAAGGCCGGGAATCCCACTGGGATTGTGCCACGGGAGCTTTGCAGAGCCGGTGCCGCTGTGTGCGGGCAGAGGGCGCTGCCGCTCCTTTGCTTGACCGGCAGTGCTGCTGCTGCTGCTGCTGCTGGTGGTGTAGAGGTTTTTGGGACACTGGTACTTCACTTGCCTTTGTTTTGTGGGTTTTAGGTGGCTGATTTCCGAGAGCAGCTGCTGTGCTGTGCAGGCGTGGACCCTGCCCGTATCGTGGAGTTCTCCTGTGGTGAGTGTGCAGTGCTGGCAGGGAGGGCTCAGCAGTGGAAGGGCTGCAGTTTGCCTTTAGCACTATTCTGTCAGCACTCAGAGCAGTGTGGCATCTTTCCTAAAAATCAGGGCAGCAAAGGGGTGTGAGTTCCCTTTCACTCTGAGCTTCCCCTGTAGTCTTGACTGGTATTAGCAGGCAGTGTGCCATGCCTTCCTCCCAGAGGCCGAGGGGATGGAAATTGGAGCAGCTGAGTGACTTAGGCACTTTGGCTTAGCCAAGCAAACATTTGCCTCTGTCACTAGAATGCAATTCAAGTTCTTCAGCTCATGGGGTTTGTGCCAACAGCAGTGATGTTGACTCTCCCTGTTTTTGTCCCCAGGACATGTGATTCCTCCAGAAAATATTTTACCCATCATCCTCTGCAGTGGTCCTTCCAACCAGCAGCTGGAGTTCACTTACCAGACCAGAGACCTGCCTCAGATGGTCAGTTTGCCCTTTGTTCCCTTCCTTGGGATCTCTTTTTTTGCTTCACATGCTTATATTTCAGAGCAGGGTATACTGTGTGTTTAAGAGGGGGGCTGAGCAAAAGCCATGGCAAAGGAAATCCCAAACCACAGAAGCA